AATTGATGAATTACGTAAGTTAAAGTTAAAGAACATGAAGGGACAGTGGAATTACCGTTTAATATTGGTATGACGAAAGCGAAAGTGACGTGTGGGATGATATACGTGTGTTATATATATAAACGAATGCCATTTTCCTTTTAATAAAGAACAGCTGTATCCCTTGTAAACAATGAAGTTCTATTTCTGATATAGAACAAAGAATGTTCGTAGTTATTAATACAAAAAAATAGAATTATTTATACAATGTTTAAAAGAAAATGATAAACAAAAAACAACAACAACAACGAGAAATATCTAACATCATTTAGTTGTTTCATTCATCAAACTTTAAACACATTTATTTGAAACAACATGAACAAATAATGTCCAGATATTCTCATAAATGTAAATCAGGATGATAAGTCATTAATTTCACAAAAAAGGAGGACAAAGGGAAGAGGAAAGAGGGGGGTAGAAAAAGGATAGGCAGTAGAAGAACTCGTTAGAAAATGAAATAACTGGTTGAACGATATTACACGAATATTCGTTGTCCGTGAATATGAGGAGATACACATTTTAGATTAGACATTAATGCCGCAGATATTACATACAAAGAACATGATGAGTAAGAACATGTATATATATATATATATATGAATATATGAGTATGTATGTGTGAAACTAGAGTTTCGTTGACCCTATTATAACCCACTCTGACCACTCACATAAGTCTGACTCTTTTGCCGGTAGAATCTAACGAAGCCGACAATGAACATTTGAAATTTGTTTGCCGTCAAAGTAAAAGAATTATTGACCCCCCATGTCATTCGGTTTCTTTTTTTTTTTTATTTAATTTTATTTAATCTTATTTTTTCTCTCGTCATATAAGAAGTCTACTTTAAAGTTAGATATTTACATTAGAAACATTGTACGTTAGCCATTTTATTTTTCATTTATATTAGTTTGATATAAAGAAAGAAACGGTGTAATATTCAAGAATATAAAATACAAAATGTTAATGTTATTTGTCCGAACATGATATATATATATATATGTAGGAAATTTTGTGGATTAAGTATAATCAATATAAAATATGGCGAAGGTGATCGTCATCGTGTTTAAATTATCCATGATTACATAGTACCACGAAGCCAATATTGAAAAGATGATACGCCTATACATTTATGTATATATATATATATGCGTGTGTAATGTATACTTAAATCGTGTGGTCAGGGTGATGATGATGATGATAGCAATATGTCGGTTAGGATGATATACCACACGTTACCTAAAATGGTCAATTTGTATGGTCAACTTAAATTTATCTGACAAATTGCGAAATGTAATCGAACCGTTTCTTACACAAACGCCTTCTGTAAAATAATACAATTTAATTTAATAATCTTATTGAAAAATTCAAATATATATATATATATATATTGCGAAAGTATTAAATTATTTTTTTTTACAAATATATGTATTTGAAAAAAAAAAATGTAAAATATCTATGTCATGTAATATGTTTTGCAATATGATCTGTTATACGTGACATTATTATTTACCAGATTCCAATGAAACCGTAGCAAAATACTGTAATTTGTAACGGGTTAACTTAAGTTAACTTACGATGCAGAAATTGACGCTTGCTTGGGTAAAGTAAATGTACCTAACAACACTCGTCTTCGGTTATGTTAAAGTCATGGGGCACTCTCTATCATATGTATGTATATGTGTATAAGGTAAAGGAGTGTAAAAGTACGTTATAACCATCTCTTTCTTTCTCATCATTTCACGGGTTTAACAGAAATAGATCCTGACTCAATATTTAGGCAACAGTACCGATATATTTCCTCTTGTGGTGGGTTTTATCGTCAACCATAATTTCACTTCTTCTCAAATTTTTCATAATTATTAATAATATTATTGTTAATAATATTATTAATTAGAATTAATTGTTATTAATTAATTAACAATATTATTAACGATTTAATGGCCGCACGTGTACGCAGTCAAACGTCGTCAAGGTTTCGGTAATATTTTTCAAGAATTAATTTAAACAAAACTTTATTGTCATTGACGAAAAAATTAATATAAAACGAACAATAACACAAATTTAATTTTATATATAAAATAATAAATATAAAATAACAGCCAATATGTGGTTTCATCTATCACACACATGTTGTATGTGAGCGGCCATTAAAAATTGTTAATAAAATATTTGTTAATACAATTCGTGTAAGAAAAGTTCGAAAATAACGTTATCTCTTGTAAAAGAAATAAATTCTTAGGAAAGATCTTTTCTGTTCTAACGAAGTATAATTTTACTTGATAAACAAATAAATTCAGTTGTAAAAACATTGTTGATATACCGTTAGTCTAGTTTTTGCAAGATTACGTGCGAAAAGAACAGTGGTAAATAATCGTGGCCGACTTTTTCAAGAACGAACGAACGAACGAACGAACGTTATACATATACATATAATGTAGTTGAGTTTATTTGTTTTTAATAAACAAAGTATGAGGACAGTTATAGTTCAACCGTCCTAATGAAAGCATTGTCAGATCCAACGTGTACTTCGTAAGAATATTATTCATTTTATAATAATATTATAACAATTTTTAATTAATTATTCATTTAACAAATTCATTTCTATTTTTAATATCATTTTTTCTTATAATCAAATTAACTTTTTTTTAGAAGTAACAAATATGTCAATAATTATTCTTGAATATTATTTTTTTACTAACTTAGTTTTACTAACTAATTACTAACTAATAATAAATTAATATAATATAAAATATGATGATGATAAAGAAAACAATACATTATATTCATTTTGAATAGAAATTTATTTAAGTATTTTTCTTCTTTTTTTTTCTTTTTTTTCTCAAGTTCTTAATACTAAAGATAATTCCTAAGACGATGATAAATAAAATGTTCTTATATTTCTAATCGTTATACTCGCATTTCTTTTTGTTTTATATTATAAATTATTATTTACGATTTATAACTAAATTAAGAAGGGAGTACGTATACACACATATATATATGTGTGATTTGTATATATACAATACAATTTTATTTGTTTGTCTCTTACATACTTAAACACACACACATACACATACACACACATATGTGGATGTAATGTATGTAATATACATACTCATCCATAAAAAAAATGAAATGACAACGACACGCGTGACCGATTAGAACGCACCTCCTCTCTTTTAATATTCTTAATACAACCATACTTGTTTGCTTACTTGCTTGCATACATACATACATACATACATTCATACATACATGCATGCATGCATATGTACATGCACGTATGCACGCATGCATGCATGCATGATCGATTATAAATGAAATGAAAAAGAATGATTACACTACTATCGTGATTTGCGTTCGAATTTGTACTTAAAAATTCATACGTCTCTCTCGTTGTCAATTTTATTTCAACGACTTATACATACAATGTACGATGATAGTTAATTTATTTATTTATGTTTTTTTGGACAATTATGATTGATTATTTATTCATTATTTATTGATACATAGTATCCATATTGTCGGATGAACTTTTTTCGTCGAGTTTTATCAAAGACGAAAAGAAATGGGGAACGGGGGGAAAATGAAAAGAATTCATTTGGAGACATTTTTCTTTTTTTGTTCTATTACATCGAGAATCCCTTAATTTTTTAATAACTTGATTAATTGATTTCTTTTTTCTTTTTTTTTTTTTGGTTTATATGAAAATATATTTTGCTTAATTAAACATGGCCAAATATGATTTTCTTTTTTCTTTCTTTCTTTCCTTTTCTTTTCTTTTTCACGAAGAAGAATTGTTTTTGTATATAACTTTCGATAAAACAAAAGAGAAAATCAAGGAAGATAATAAAAAGAAATTAAAGTGTTAATTAATTTTCAATTATAATATATATATATATGTATATATAAAAAAGAAAATATCGATTAAAAATATGATTGAAATTAATATTCAAAATGAAATGAAATAATTTGATCGTAAAAAAAACATTTCATGATTATTCTCCGACATGCTTTAATAAATCATTTGAATAATTCTTAAGAAAAGTAGTACTAAATAATTGTAACAACATTTATAAGTCAAAGTTGTGTGATGATTATTATTATTTACATATTCCGTTTAATTAAAAGACATATTTTGTAATATATATATATATTACTTTTGTAACTTTCATTATAGGAAAGGAATTGCTTACCATGACGTCATTAATCGTCCTGTATGATTATTGAAATTTTAGCTAAACGAAAAAACGATATTTTATAACAAATATTGTATCTCGTGATGCCCACGTTGACGAACATAATATTTCAAATGAACCGCCTTTTTTTTTTTTAAATTGTTCCGAATCATGCATAATTCATATACACACACACACACACACACGCACACGCATATACAGATATTAATGAGGATTGGTAGTTTAGTTAAATGAGCTAAAACGTAATAAAAAGAGCTAGTGCCATCAACGTAGAAAATGATCGTTTATCATCTTTCTTAAGATTCACATTTACACTCCCTCTCTCTCTCTCTCTCTCTCTCTTTCTCATTCTTTTATCATCATTCGTAAGGATTAACAACGTGGACACAGTTAAACTTGGCTAGCTCATTGGAAAATAACACAATGATATCTTTTTAATATATATATATGTATATATAAGCGAGTGTATTTAAATGGGAACTCATCTAAACGAGGAACAACGTCATCGTCAAAGATCGGCCATTGACGATCTTTCAAATCGAACCAAGATGAAGAAACACGATAGTATTATTATTAAAAAAAAAAAAATGTTTTAAACTCTTTCGTCATATTTACAAAAAGGCAAAAGGCATAAGAGATAAAACGCATTTTTCTTTTTACTCGGTTTTCCATCTTCGTTTCGTGTACCCCATGAAAAATACGATCGGACGATATATATATATATATATATATATATATATATTAATATTATAATAATTATTACTAGTATTATTATTATTATTAATATTATTATAATTATTTTCGTAAAAAATATTTCTACCTAAAAAAAAAAAGAAAGCTCGTGGTGTAGGCTTTCGAGCAAGGAAATTCATTTTATTTTTAGTCCCAACGACAATGATCATCGACTTGTGACCAAACAAATTTAACCAAGCGCCGAACCGAGCCGAACCGAACCGAGCTGATGACGATATCATCATGACGATTATCATGACGATAAGTTTTCAAAAGATACGAATAATATAAATGATTATTTCGTTCTCCTTCGTAAAGTCGATCTCTTGGAGTCGTTGCCACGACCGGAAACATCCACTCACGCTAATTTCATGTATATGGTCCGATCCCTCATCTTGCAATGCTTCAATTCTCTCAATGCACGTTGGGCCTCGCTAGGTGAAGAAAATGCTACCCGCGCATCACCCGTAGGCATACCCCTTTCATTGTAACGTCTTATTACGTTTTCCCGTTTAACATCAAAATCACCGAAAAAGTCTATTATTTCATTAATGTCTGCTTTGAATGGGACATTTTCTAAAGAAAGAACGCAACCGGGTTTGCCGAAACCTTCGACGTAGTCCATCGAACCAGGATGACGACCTAACATATGTCTCGGTATACCCATCAAACCTGGAGGACACCTGGGACCAAATGCAGAGTTACCAAAACGTGGCATGTGATTTTGCATAGGTCCAGCAAATCTTGGCCGTGCGTCCTGTGGTGGTGGATAATGTTGTTGTTGCTGTTGTTGCTGCTGAACTTCTAGCAATTGAGGATCGGTCATTTCTAGGGTCTCCAACATGTGAACTCGCGATATTAACTCGATCGTTGGTATGTTCTTACCAAAAGGTACTCCGTTCTTTGCCGTTGCCCTAAGTGCTTCGTCGGTAGTTTCAAATTCGCAGAAACAATCGCCAGTAGGTTTACCGTTCTGATTTAATATCATATGTGTACGTCGTGGTACGATTCCAATATCGGAAAAGTAATCGTGAACGTCTCGATCCAACGTTTGGAATGACAACCCACGCATGATAATACAATCCGAAGTAGTATTTTGAGTCATACCATTTTCATGTTCTCGTTTCGCTTGTGCAAATTTATCTTCAGAAATGGCGGTCGCAGTTACCTGTTTGTTACCGATCTTCAAAGAAGTACCGAGAGACGATTTAGCATCTTCTAATCTAGCGAATTGCACGTATGCCACATAATGCGTACTCCCGGATTCCTTGATATTCGTAATAAATAAATCATTTATCTTCCAGTCGTGGAACAATTTAGCTATGTCCATTTCTTTGGTGAAAGACGGTAAATCCGTCAAAAGAATGCAAGTAGAGTTTCTAACGTCTGCTTCGTCTTCTTTATCTGGTGCATAGGAATCTGCAGCTTTATCGAAAATACTCTCGTCCAAATGAAGAACTTCAACTTCAGAACCGCGAACGTATCTTGGAATTGATAAAGCAATTTCCTTACCTTCCGCTTTACTAAACTTGATATATGCAATACCAACTCGATTACCATGATTATCATTGATCAGTTTTAAACCATCTTTTCTGATAAAGATACCTTGGAATGCATGTCGTACGTCCGTGTACGTAGCATTCAATGGCATATTACGTACTTCTACGCAATAACCATTAGAGCTAGATTTATCATTTGAAAATCTCGATGAACTGTTGGAATTTCGTCCGGACGTTTGCCGATCTGGACCATTTTCAAAGTTACCATATTGCGAAACAGCAGCCGAAGCAACAGCTTGGAAAGCATGTGGATTACGACGACCCTCTAATTCCTGTACTTTGCTCAAAAAAACGTTATTTGGTCTCAGACCGGGTCTACAATTGATGGCACCATTATTGGGCCCATACATGTAAGCATCCTGTGATCCTAATTGATTCGCTCTACCTGGAAATCTGACTTGATCCATTCTGCCTTGATCATTTTGATTCCAAGGTTCTTTCGGACGATTTAAATTACCAATACCGCTAGTGAGGCTTGGCAAGGACGCGTTAGCTAAGTTTGGAGGAAGTGAATTCATGCCGACCGCATGGCCGGTTAACGTCTGAACATGAGGCTGCATAAGATTTCCTACACCGTTCAAACCGTTCAAGGAAAATTGATTCGATTGTAGCAATGATTGTTGTCCAAGAACGGAATTACCAAAGGTCATGGATCGTTGCTCGCCATCTTGGGACAAAGCGGCCACGCCCGCTCCTAAAATTCCCGGTGTTAAAAGTGTTGCTTGAATTTGAGTCTGAGGTGGTACTTCCCATATACCATTTTCAACGATAGGAGGTTTTTTAGCCGAACCACCACCACCAACGCCAATACTATTACCACCACCACCACCACCACCACTACCAGACACGGATTTATTATCTTTATGAAATTGTCCTACGCATACTACGTCATTATTATCGTCATCGTTAGCATCTTTGCGACGTTCTCCCGTGGAATTACGTTTAACGTCCCTGTCCCTAGAACGAGTACGATCACGCGATCTTGAACGATCGCGACGACGACGTCTGTCCCGACGATCGCGTTCTCTGTCCCTCGATCTGCTCCTGTCACGACGTCTACGATCACGATTCCTATCCCTGTCACGTCTATCCCGATCCCTGTCACGATCACGCGAACGTGACCTATCTCTCGATCTTGATCTATCGCGTCTCTCCTTTCGATCCTTACTCGATTCGCTGTCATTGTCCTTTTCCCTTCTATCGTTTGGTGATGCAGGCTTAGCAGAAACAACTGGAGTCGGTACTGCAACCGGTGGTGGTGCTGCTGCCGCTGCTGTCTGTATAAACGATTGAAGGTGCAACGTTTGTTGTCTAGCTGCTTCTATCACCTTCTGCATTTCCGTCCGCGAACTTAGCAACAGCTTTATTTTCATCTCCTTGATCTTACCCCCATCTTGCATCATCGCCTGACGCGCATCCTCGTCCGTGCTGGAAAATTCATCATCCGAAAAAAACATTTTTATTTCCAAGAGTCTTTCTTCTTATATTATACAATGCATCTATATTATTAATACGCGTTTAGGAACAATCGGTAATCCCCAAAGCAAATAATCAACGAAAATAGATCTTTCCTTGAAAGTGTATTTTAACGGATTGTTTTTCCCCCACGATGTACACAATAACAAAAACTCATTTTTATTACCTGAACGCTATAAACGCATCTCCCAGTTCGCCACCAACAATATGCACTCCGCCTTCCGGTATACTCAGCCCTCTGAAAAATTGGCGGATGTCCAATGCGTTGGCAGACCATGCTAGATTCTGTAGTCTTATTATCACGCTCATTTTTGTGTGGTTGATCTCTTTTTTAGATTTCGTTTTTTGTTTCTTTTTTTTATTTTTTTTTTTTGTATGTGTTTGTTTTTTTTTTTTAAGTATCTGCAACCGAACGTATACGTGACAAATTAGACACAAGAAAAGGGAATATTTAATCTGTTTTTTTTGTTGGTTTTGTTTTTCAAAAGTTAGAAATTAATTGAACGAATCTGTAAAAAAAAACAAAAAGACTTATTGTGAGAAGGAAAATACAGAACAGAGAGAGAGAGAGAGAAAGTAAGGAAGAATTTTTCTTTCTTGTTTATCACTCACGATTGTATTTTTATTCATTAGAATATATCATCAATATAAACTACATTTAATTTGATATACACTAAAAAAAAAAACGCAGAGATAATCAAAAATATTTCAGAACGGTTGTTGTTGTTGTTGTTCCAATCATTTTTATACAACACATGTTTTTTCTTTTTTTTTTTTATAACATTTATAACATTTTTACAACAAAATTAATAACACCTGAAGAGGAATAATCACATAAAACACGCAATTAAATTCAATTAAATTAAATATTGCGATCGATCGATATTCGCAAAATGGCTGACGATAATCCGATATTTAAAATAGAAGAAACATTGTGAATAAAGAAAAAAAAAAATATATATATATATATATATATATATATATATATTTAATATTAATATATATTTATTATATTTTGAATAAAATAATATCCAAAAATGTATAAACACGTTGAGAACGCCATGCGAATTATTAGGGAAATTCTCCGTCAGGCCACGCACTTTACTTTATATAAGAAATCAGTTGAAAGTGTCGGTCACGGGTGACTGACGTGGCCTAAACGTACTGTCTAATGTCAGTCACCAATGACTGACATGGCGCTCAACAATGTTAAATCAGAAATAATCGTAATAATTGTTCAAAATCAATTGTCATTCGTATTGAATAAATAAAACATGGTTATTTTAAGTTGATACGTAGAAAACAGGGATAATAGTATATACTTTATTATATTTCAATAGAATTCCATTGGCACCAATAGAGAATATCTTCAATAATTTCAACTGGTATATATATATATATGTGTGTTGCTGACATAAGGCAGCACCAGCAACCAGCACCAGGCACCAACACAGCAGCAACAAAACAGGAAGAAGACAGGTATAGAAATGCGCCCACGCAACGTTTATGTTAACTTCTTAGGTACCCATCAATAACATCCTTTTACAATGATACTTTCAAATTTCTATGCTTGTTGTTATTTCAAGATTGGAATTTGAGATAAATTATGTTGAAAAAAAAAAAAAAGAAAAAAGAGAAAAAAATTCTAAAAGATCAAATAATTGAATCTAAATCATATGGGCTTGTCCAAAGATAACATCAAATGAAGATTAAGAATAAATGTGATCACAACAAAACCATTTTAATTGTATAACTGTTCTTTGTATTGTAGATTGAATTTTCTAAATGGTTTTTTTTTTTTTTTATTATTTAATTTCAATCATTTTCTTATTCACCATATGTGTGTGTGTGTGTATACAGAATATAATTCCTATCTTTAAAAAAAAAAAAAGTAATAAAACGTCTTGCATCATAGTTGTTCGTTTTATTTGTTTTAAGTAACGTACCAGGAAATAATTCATGTTAATTATAATAAATGTTGAATTGTATTACAAAGCATATTGCATAATTTGTATAAATGAATTTTTATTACTCATATATATATATATATATATACAATGAAAATGATTTGATAATCAATATGATTACTAATCGAGTTTAATAGATTTGTTATCTCAATATGAATTAAACTTGGATAAGAAAACTTAATTATCCAATTATCCTTGGGTTTAAAAAGACAAGTTGTTGAAGCTTAGAAAGAACCATTGAAGATGAACCTCTGAAGTCCGTATGATCGATCGCAGCACACGTATTATCATCACCGTCATCATCACACCGTCATAATAGTCATCGTCATCAACGAATTTAAATCAAAATCATTCTCGTGTAAACATACAATGTTTACTTTTACTTATTCTTCACGTTAATTTAATAAATAAAAAATATATAATTAAAATTCATGTCATCATCATCATAATAATAATAATATTAATAATAATAGTCATTTTTGAATGAAGTTTATTGAATTTAAGTTACTATTAATAAAACGTGTGTGTTTATGCTAACGAAACTTGAAAATTACACGTAGAGAGAGAACACGTGAACGTACACGTGTGGTACTTTTAGTATACAAAGTTTAAGTCAATATTTATTAACAGTCTTTTTTTAAAAAAATAAAAAAAAATAGATTCTTAAAAGATGGAATAGTAGTATAATAATAGTAACAGTTTAACCAACTGAAACACCAACAGCAATCTTATCGACGAGTAGGGGTAGGTAGGTAGATTTTCTTTCTTCGTTTAATTTTGTGTGTGTAATGTGTGAGAATAAGCAGCTAGGCTAATGTTCTTTTTTATCATTCACTAATTATATTTTGATCTTATTTTTTTTTTTTATTATTCTTGATAGAAATAATAAAAGATCTTGTATTTGATAAGAAGAAAGAGATGCGTCGAGGAGTTTGATGCAGCAACGTTGACAAAAATAAACTACCTTGATGATGATTTCGTTCTCTCTCTCTCTCTCTCTCTGTGTTCCGATGATTATTATAACGTAGTATTATTCATCGTCAAGGTAAATCATCCATTTGTATACCCCAAGATTTGTAGAATGCAAGAATAAATTAGAAGAACTCATTGAGGAATCCAACATAAAAAAAAAACAAGAATAGAATAATAATCAATGATGTTTGTCTTTCCGTCTTCATTTTTTAGCCAGTTGCATTCAAAAATGATTGACGAATAGCATGATCATCATATTCCATAATTTTAAAAATAATATTACATTTAAATTATTATTATTATTATTATTAATTGGCATTAGGAAGTGGAAAGTTCATTGCCACAAATACCAAATCCCGCCATTGTTCCCATCCCTTCCATTCGCGGTCTTCTTATCCTAATTTCTTTCAGGTTACATTTGAATTAAAGTTGTAAATAATTGACTTGTGTGATTCTTCAGTGCAAAGGTTTAACAATGCAACAACAAATTATTCATTTCTAATTGTAAAAGAACAAAATAAAAAAGCAAAAATAGATAGAAGAAGGTAATCTCTTGATAATGTTTTAAATAAAGGGAACCATTTTATTGGAGACAACACACGGTGTTCTAAAGATATCCCATCAAATTCATTTGAAATTCGATCAAATGTTTCAAATGCACGACGATTAACTATAAATAGCATTATTATAATTTGAAAAGAAGAAAACTCGTTTGAGAAACAACGATGTTGTTAGTAACTAAAATGGAGAAATACGAAACAGAAGTAGAGAAGAGTACACCTGCAGGATTCGATGCCGATGAAAGAAGAAGAAGAACAAGAAGAAGAAGAACATGAAGAAGAAGAAGAAGAAGAAGACCGGTGTGTGTTCAGGATTCCTTTGTGTCATATCCTTTTGAGACTCGAACAGAAGGACGATGATGTTCTTTCTTTCTTTCTTTCTTTCGTTTTTTTTCTCTTTTTTTTTCTCAGTTGTCTCGATGAGGGTTGAAACAAAAGATTCGTCAAAAGAAAACTACCAACCTTTCTCGAACGAAACACGTTTTCCTAATGTTTTATTACCCCCGTTGTATTAAAACATTTTCTTTTCTTTTTCACAGTCACGTTTTTGAAAGGATACACACGAAGGATGTTAACATCCCTTTTTATATTAAATAGCAAAAGATTAGGAAGACAAGGGGAAGAAAAAGGAATTAAAATCTTTTTTGTTTGTTTGTTTTGATTTGTTTCTTTTTTTTTTTCTTTTTTTTATACTGTTACTAATAAAACTCGTTTTAAATAAGTTCAAATCAAAATTATTAAATACAGAACGTATAATATAAATTTCAATGTTCCTGTGTCGCATATCATATGATAGATATATGCATGTGTGCATGCATGTGAATACGTGCACGTTGAATTCGTTGAAAGTAACTGAAAAAAATACCTTTGTCAAGATAAAATGTATTTGTAGAGCAACAACACCGTTTTCTGCATCGATTTTTCGCACCAGTCGTTTAATTTACTCAACTTCATCCAACCCCCGCCCTCCTTGCCCTTTCTCACCTCCCCTATCCTCTCCTCCACCCTTTTATCTCTCTCTCTCTCTCTCTCTCTTTTCCATTCTTCTCGCAGTATATTTCATAATACATTCAATCGCCAATAATTCTTCCATTGTATATACGTGAACACATTTATTATTATTTATTATCGTATCAGAAAAGCATTAAAGTTGTTTTTTATTTATTTAAAAAAAAAACATATGATGACCTAGTAACCCTGTGACCGAATAAACAAAAAAAAAGTACTTTAATATTATTTTATATGCACTGAGGAAAGAGAGGGCAAATACAGTTTCGCACACGCATCATATGCTTGAATGTATGTGTTTACTGTGTTTATATATTATAATAACATACGCGTATCGTGCGCACGCGTGTTCACACGGTTAATTATGTGCATGCAAATTTACGTAATCGTATGTGTATGTAATATATAAATATATGTTTACATATTGCATATTGAATATATATATATAGAAGAACGTATTGAGCCACTCTCGCGCATGCGCGTACGCAAGAGATAGCTTCGATTAATCGTTCGTGACGATTAATGGCGGAAAGGGCGGGAACAAATCGATGAGGGATAGCTAAGATAATTTTCATTATTTCTTTTATCTTTTTTTTTTTACTTCGTTTCCTTTTTTTAGAAATAATAATTAGATTTTCTTTTTTGGTTGTTTTCTTTTTTCTTTCAGAAAAATCGTGTACGAAGAGGAGGAGGAGGAGGAAGACGACGAAGACGACGACGACGTTGAAAAAGAAAAAATTAAAGATCGATGTTGCAATTCACGAAGTTGAATTAAAAAGATGACGTTCGATTATCGAACACCTTGATTATAATCGATAACGCGATTTTCCCCAATTCCATATGTTCGATAGTAAGAAAATAAATAATGACAGGTAAATATATCTCTCACTTTCCCTTTTTTTTTTATTATTATTTTTTTCGACGATCTGAAACATGAAAAAATACGAGCATCGTAGGTCGCGTTAAATTAAAGAATTGTTGTTTGATTATTTTATTGTTTTCTTTTTTTTCTCCTGTTTAAGATCAAGTCATTAGATTCGACGATTATTAAACGAGAATGTTTCCTACTAACTCATGGTACGAAGAAGAATAAATATATATATAAATCTGGTTGTAATAAAAGCAGCATATTGTTTTTAAGGTTAGTCCATTATTTTATATATATTATTATTAAAATTATCCAACTAAAAAAATGTGAATATTCAATTGCAGAGCGTATTCCAATCAAATCTGGGGACACACACATCACACTGTGACAGGTGGTCACCGTATGAACTTTTTCTTTTGGGTAAGTCAACACACAACGAACAAGGATGATAAAAACATTGTTTTATCAATGCAAGTGTCGTCGAAGGAATTCACTAATAAAAGTCTCTTCCCTTAAATAATTCAGCATGGGGGTGATATGTTTCATCACCATATATAAAACCTAGTTTAAAAGTAGTTTAACGAACGAGGTATTAAAAAAATATATAAAAATAATTGTGTCACCATTAACGTTATTATCAATAAAATAAATATGTCACCACGGTTATATATATATATAGCTTATAAATGATTTGTTCAATGTAAAATTGATTAAGAGACAACGAAATGGATAGGAAAGATAAAACATGTTGATCAAAATGTAAGAATCATATCCATATAAGAGCCCATGTGTGTTTGTATATGTATATCAAAGAGATATATTATCCGATTAAAAAATGCTCTCGTAGAAGATGACTCCCAGCTTGCAAGGACCACTCGTAGAAAAACCAAACTTCGCAGCAGGCTAAGGACCCCGGCAAGATTAAGTTGCAGTAGACTTTCTCTTTCTCTCTCTTTCTCTCTCCGCTATCATTTCTCCTTTTGTTTTCTTTATTTTTTTTGATTTGTTTTACTCATCTTCCGAAATAATATCACTGAATTAATTGTATCACGTTAAAGTGTGTATCACTATCTATCATTTTTCATAACATTGCAATTCGATGATGGTTGGTTGGTTGTGACCATAATGAAACGAATTCAAATGAAGAGAATAAATCATTTGTGTCTTTAGTATTTTTTTTTTTTTTTTTTTTAAATAAAATATGTGCAACAACCAAAAGTATCTTAAAGTGTTTCAATTTATAGCTTCATGTGTTTTTCTTTTTTCTAATGAAATAAGAATTTAAATGATGTATTTATATTATCAGAGATATCAAAGCGCGATAGTTGTATTGTATACGTAAACATATATATGTATGTGTTTTCACATAGTTTATTCAGAGATAAGATAGTTTTTAATATAAGTAAAGATAATCAGAGTTAAATAAAGTGTAAAATGATCTTTGACATAGAATGTAGAATAAGAACGAGTATTATATAAAAAATGATGTACTCAACATTTAGCAACTTTGATCGAAGTTTTTTTTACTTCATTTCTTAACAAAATATTTCATATAATAAAAATAAAGAATATATTTATGTCAGTAAATATATTATTCTTATATCAACTTACCTGTGTATTTATTGTACATATGTTTTTTTTTTTTTTCATATGATATATCATATGATAAAATACCCTCAACCTACAATTTATAATGTTTATAATATTTCAATAGATTTTCTTTTAGACTTTGATCAAAGTTAAATTAATTTTAAGAAATAGTCGTAGTAGTAGTAGTAGATGTAAAAACTGTAATACTGATTAACATAATATTATACTAAATGAAATAATGCTTTGGTATATTTTGATATACCAAACAAACACCACAACATGCTAGAATATTCATATAACTTGTATATATCTTACATTTAACCATAGAAAATAGAACTGAGAGAGATTAGTAAAATAATCATTTAAAGAATTAACGAACGAACGAACGAACGAACGAACAGAAACTATTGATAAATTTAATAATCATGTTTAATATAAAGAATATTTTTTTATTCGAATAATATCAATGAAATTTATTATTAAATCAGAATATAATCTGATTGGATTTAGAGATGTTTTGATAAAACAATAGAAAAATTAAATGAAAAATCTTTTGATGATTAACACAATGATGTGAAAAATCAATTTGTTGTGTTAATATATAAGTATTCTAAGTTGTTAAATGAAAAGAAAATTTCTACTGACTTATATTCTTAACTTCTTCTCTCCTATTATTCTAACCAATAATGGTGGTTACTTACCAATAATTATAACATTTTATAAAGTCATGTTTATGCTTATTTGTATATATTCAGGGGGATGAGCAGAAACATTAGAACAAACATACATATATATATATATATATATATGTATGGTTTGTGGAAGATTATCGAGTTAGAGGAATACGATGGTCCTCTAGTAAAATCAACAACACCACTTTCCCACTTTCAGAATTAATAACTAATTTTATTACGTTACTTTGAAGTATTACCTTCGACTTCAGAAACTTGAGAAACTTCTTCTTTCTTCACTCACACAGCTAAAAGGTACGACGAAAGATAAGAAGTCGATGAGAACAAAGATGACGACCGTGCGAGCAGGAAGAAAGGGCCCATCAACGAAGGACAATGAAATGGAGAAGCAGAAAAGGAGTAGTTAACTGCGCCAAGTCATTGTAAGTAATGTCCACTGATGAGGAAGAATCTTTTTCTTGACACCTAACACACACTGAGAGCTCTGCCTAAGATCCTGCAACACACACCATTTTTTCCACACTGTACCTAAACCGCACAGGGTAATCAGAAATTGTAACTACCACAATGTGTCTCCTTTTTCCTTTTTTCATCGTACAAGTTAACACTTGCGCTTCATTTTCAAATTAAAAACAAAGAAATAGAAAGTAAATTAGACATTATTTCTTTTTTTTTCTTTTTTCTAAACTAAATTTTAGGTTAAACTTTCATTAAGTTATTGGTGTGTATTATATATATATAGGTTATATTATATATATATATATATATATATATATATTATTATAATATACAGTATTTTATGATAAAGTATATTTATTTAAAAAATGTAATCTATAATTTGATCTCTCAAATTTATCCTTTTGCAAATGAAATTCAAAAACAAAGCACAACAAAATATTTATTTCTGCATTATCGACAGATACATTAAAACTTCATTAAATAATAATTAAAGATATCAAAATTAGATTTTAATAACGACCTAATTACTTTATTAGAAATTAAATGAATATAAATGAAAAGTATTCACACATAAAAATACCTGAATAGAAGGAGTAAGAGAGAAAAAGAGAGAGAGAGAGAGAGGAAAGAGAGAGAAAAAGAGAGAGAGAGAGATATGATAGAATAGGAACCTCCCTAATGCGTAAATTCATAATAAACTCGTAGAATAATGACCTAATAATACTAAGATCGATAACTAATTACAATAAATATAATATTTTTCTCCTAAAGTTAGAGAAAATCTTCTAATTGTATGATAAGATTGTTAACGAATGATAAAATATCGACTTTTTCTTTCAAGAAACAGATAAAAACTTCATTAGAGAAGTAACGTCCGCCATTAAAATGAGAGTAAGAGAAGTTTCGATTGACGAAATGTAGAGAATAAACATTGTTATGATTAATTAAACTCACCAAACTTACTATGCGATAAAATGATGTGGCTGTTACGAGAAGATCAGTTGATTATTTTAGACGTCGTTAGAAATAAATAATTATAGCACAATATAGAAGATTGATTTCCGTTTTCGAATATTACGACCAACGATTTGGCGTCAGCGTTCCATGGAATGACCGCGGAAGTCCGTGTAAATTGTCAAGAGAACCCCTAATGTTAAATAACCGGAAGAGCATTTTCACTGCATACTTACGTTATTTCGATTAACCAATTGGAAGCTAGTAACGAGGTACGGATGATTTTTATTGGATGATATTGATGATAGAACAAAATATGAATATTAATTTGTTATATGAACAAATTAATTAATAAATTGATCATATTAATATATTTGCATTAATCAGAAATGTAGATTTATAGGTTAAACAATTTTTAATGAAAATTATTACAGTATTGTCAAGTTGCAGTTTAACCAACCACGGTGCATTATTATTTTCTTTCATTGGTAACACTCGTTCATTAATCTTCGATCTTTGCACATGCGCAGAAGTTACATAGTAGTAAATATTTACTATCATTTAAATAGCACTGTACTACACGTTTACTACACGTGTTCATTCACTTTTTAGCCATGAATGTAACAACATCGTAAACCTTTGACAATGTTTTATTTATACAACAAACTATGATGCTATGTGATGCATTGTATCCTTGTAAGATCAACAAATATTTTAACGATGTAAATACTTTAATAAAAAATATAACGAAAAGATTACCAAAAAAAAAAAAAAGTAATTATTTTGTAAAGGGATAGAGAGAGTATAAACAAAAAATGGACACAGATAGAAATTGTTAAATAAAAAAACATTCAATTAAATTATCACAAGCGTTTTATTGCCGCTACATTAGCGATAAAGTAAGAAATCGATAAATATATTAACGAATAATATATAACGATTATTGTATAATATATTTTATGTACATAAAAGTTTAATATCGCTAACAGAGCCGTTATACAAAATACATTAAAAATATATGAAGGTCTATACAAAGTTTACATAATAATAATAATAACATATTATTATATCCATTATTTTATTTAATAAACTTAACTAGATTCGTAGGTTAACTTTCATCATATAATGGTGTACCATCTCCACTAAGAGACATACTGCGTGGACTAGAATTAGTATAGGGTGTACCTCGAGGTGATTTATAAGATGGAGTTTGATTAGATGGAGTTCTATTTCTCGGAGTAGTTCTTCCAGCAGAATCCTCATATTTTCGTGGCGTTTTCCTGGATTCTTCATATCTTGGAGTACCACCCCTTAAATTAAATTCAATTCAATTAAATTCAATTCACACAATTAAATGAGATTTTAATTAGATAATTGTAATGAAATGTTTTAAGAGAGACTTACGATCCTCGAGGAGTTGATTGTTTCAAACGAGCCCAAGCTTCAGCTGCCTTACTCCAATCCGTGGCATCACCAGATGTCGGTGTTGAAGCAGACGGAGTGGGTCTATGAGATCGCATTGATCTCTGAGTTGCAGATGGTACCGAGGAAGAAGGTACTGGATGTAAGAATGAACCTTGATGATGATTTGGTGTTTGCTGTGCATGACGCGGAGTATGATGAGGTGTTTGATACGGCGTCATGAATGGAGTTTGTCCCGAAGGAGTATAAGGTGTATTCGGGTATGTATGCATTCCACCATAAGCTGTGGTACTTGCTGCACCTGGAGTATGTGGTGGATAATGATGTGGTGTTTGATTTGCTACTTGCGATAGAGAATGCAACATGTGGTGTGGTAAATTTTGAGCCACTCTTTGTATTGCATCCTGATTCATTCCTGAAATATTAAATATAAATAATTAAATATATATTTTTGTTAATACTATCAAAAATGTGAATATATATATATATATATATAATCAATAATGTGAATAGGAAAGTACCTGAAACTGCCCCAGGAGTAGTATGATACGGTGTTCTTGAAGTCAATGCACCGTGTGGAGTACCTGGCGTTGATTGACCAGGTATTGGATCACGAAAATGTTCCTTGAACCAACGGAACAAATCATTAACTCTACTAAACGTTTGTCCTCTAAATTTAAAACCGTCTGGTAAAACGCTAACGTATTCGTGACGGCACCGAATTCTTGGTAAATAAGACAGGAGGAATTTTCCTGGATAATTCTGAAATATAAAAATGAAAGTATAAATTAAACATTTACAATTTAAAAGAATATAAACAAGAAAATAAATATAACGTAAAGTTAGTTGCATTGTTCGTACCTTAGCTGCAGATATAATGTAAGGAATTCCTCCTGGATTTTGTTTCTTTTGTTCTTTCAAAATTTCTTCAGCCTTATCTTTCACGCCTTCCACGTTTGGCTTATAATATTTAAAATCTAACAATTCTGAAGTATAAGCTGCCATAGGATTAACGTGTCTGGCAATTATTTCATCGAGATCTTCAAATTCTTCGTTACCAATCCATAAACTATGACCCAAGGAAAATGCATTTTCTTTGCCTTCTTCTCTGACATCAATGTGTTGATAAATATTGTCAGTTACTTTCCATGTTACGGTAAGATGATCGGCACCTTTGCTACTGGGTCTTATTATACCTTCTCCTTGTTTCATATTCTGCATTAACTTCTCCGACTCGGCAAAACTAATATTGTGGAAAGACGGATGTATAATAACACGTCTAACATATGTCTGAAGTTGCTTTACTTTTTTAGCATCCTCTTCCACTTTAACATCTTGATCGTGCGCTTCCGTGTCATAATAAATGTCTCTTTGAGGTCTAGAAAAATATAAAAATACATTAAATCATTTACAAAATTATTCGTAATAAAAAGCAAAAGGTATATAACAACGTAAGGACTTACCTCCATTCATGATTTTTATCAGCAAGATCGCTGCTCTTGCTCGTACATTCAACACTGAAACGTTCTACTTCAATTTTAATAATACGACAATGGATTACTTGACCAATACCAACTCTTTCTTCAGGATTGGCAACATGTTTATCAGATAAATTTTTAATATGAACATAGCCAGATATTCCATTGTCTAATCTCAGTCTTACACCTGTAGCTTTTCCTGGACAAGCTCCTGCATCAAAATGATTCCACACTTCCGAAAGTTCAGGAAAATCATTCTTCAGACAGAAAGGACACTGCCATAAACCAGTCTCATCGTTTCTAACTGGATTGGCTTGATCTAATTGTTCTCCTTGTGGTTTTCTATGACTTATGCCAACCACTGTTGCCAATATCAGTTTACCGATGTAGAACGTTTCAGGTGTTTCCTTGGTTAATATGTCGAACAATTTTTCTGGACTTGGTGATTGGTACGGTACACGTAAATCCTTGTATCTTGAATTCAATTCAGCTCTGATATCATACAATGTGACACATTTATTACCAAAACCTTGTCTTTCCAATTCTTCAGCAAATGCATCCAAGTCCAAATCCTTCAATCTTTCTGGCGATTCTAAAATTTCTTCCAGTGCACCAGCTGGATTTGCATCTTCGTCGTCGTATTCCAATGCATCTACTGCCATTTTTCTTGCCCATTCGTACGTTTCAGGATGCACTCTTGAACCATCCAATACTTCTACGTAAGCTTCCGTACTGTCTCCTAAACTATTCGTATCAATCTTAATAAATCCAGCACAGTTGATAAATACTTTGGGTCCCATATGACAAGCTGTTACAAGTTGCGTTCTATTTTCTAATCTTTGATTCGTTTGTTTCAATATTTTAATCAATGCTTGTCCTTTTCTAGGACCCAAACCGCAAATGAATTGTACCAGATTTCCAGAATAAGCTTGTTGTACTGCTTTGTTAACGTCAACGCCAACCTCATTTACTCTATTTACGAATTCTAAATATAAATTTTCTAAAAGTTCTTCTTTTAGAAGCTGATCTTGCAATGGATGATACTTGAGGCATAATATTTCTTCATCGGCAGTACATAATTGAGAAAATTCTACTAAAGGATCTTGCATTCTTCTAGCCAAAGATATTGCTTGTCTCAATAATTCCGGATAATCTCGGAATTCCGAAATACCCTTGTTACTGTTGGAATAAATCTTAGCAAGTTCATTTTCACATATTTCTACTTGGATGGTAGGAAATTGTTCATCTTCCATTAGATTGGAAATACATTCTTTTATATCAGAGGCAATCATCAGTGCCTCTCTCGATTCACCACCGATTACAACCATGTGAGGTTTCTTAGTTGCTATGAAATTCTTAAGTGCCAATAAATCAGCTTCTTTCATTGCTTTTTCATCTTCCCTGAAACTATTTTTCCTCTTCATCAAATGTGGTAATCTCACGTAATCTGTGCATTCACCGTCAGCAGAAACGATGCATGTAAAAGCTGCTTGAGAATAATCAGGTACATAAGCTAAACCCATAACGCGAAGACCTTTACTTGTGTCCCATTCTTCATCTTCTTCTTCAGGGAATTCACAAGTGTATGGAGCTACTTTAATCCAATTATACATTTTACGACAACAAGCTCTCATTATACATTCTTTAGCTTCTGTAATAAGATTGATTTTCAATTCTTTCTTTAAATGTGGTATCACCATACGATTGAGTGCCATTTCTACACTGCCAACTCTCAATGCATTCCAATCTTGAACATTTTTGCTGAATTCGTCAACATAGTAAAGTTGTTTCATTTCGTCAACGTAATTGCTAGTTGTATTTCCTTCTATCGTGTCGCTTAATGAGATTGTAATGAGCTTGTCAGTTTCAGCTATGACCAATTTTAAGAATTGATCTCCCACAAGATCCCGCACTGGTTTGTCTTTCAAATATTTCATCGAATATATTGGATGATTCTCGTCGATTTCTTTGATACCTTTTTTCGTTGGTCTAACTGATATTTTAGCTCTTTCCATATACATTTCTCGAACGCATTTGCGTACCAATGGTTCGCGTGCCAATTGCATAGCAACCATCAATTGAGCAGCCTTAAGAACTTCATCTGGAGTATTGAATCTTGAACTGCAAAAATCATTTGCAACTACTGTGGGCTCTATGGGTTCTTGCTCAACTTCGTGACGTTGATAATTATCCCGAAGATTTTCAGCAAAATGTTCTGGAGTAAGACCAAACTTCATAGCAAGCCCAGCCAAGCCTGCTTTTCGACAAGTTGAGTATGGTCCACTTCTAACCGCTTGTTTCAACGTTTCATCCGGTTCCTCTTCTTCATCTGCAGCAGGTTCAATATCCTCTTCGGGCGGATTTTCACCATTCTCTTCGGCTTCGGCTATTTGTTGTTTTCTTTTTTGTATTCTTGCTTCACGACGTAATTCTCGTTCCTTTTGACGAGCAATCTCTTGCATAGCTGGAATGTCATAACTATAATAAAGCATGAAGTGTTGATAAACGTCATTTAATTCTTCGCTCGTTTGAATATTTTTAAGACGTTCAATGTCATCTTCTTGTATCACCCTTACATTATCTGGTATAGGAAGATCACGATTTTTCAAAACTTCGTCATACTGATAATTTTTCATCTTTTCAAATAATTTCAACAAATTTTCTTTACGTTGACGCAATTGACACCATTTAGCATCGAATTTATATACTTTCCATAAATCATTGATATTAAGTTCTGGAAGCACATATTCTTTTCTGTAGAATGATATGAAAGGAACTTCAAAGTGTTGATTTCGCATGAAATCTAAAGCTTTCTTAATTTTTCCAATAGTTTGTGGACCTTTCTTAGCTCTCTCTTTGGCTTCTTCGTTCAAGTGAGCATCTTGAACGGAAATAGTAGGTCGGCAAAATGCTTGTTTATATATCCATTCTGCCTCAAGGTCTAATTCATCAGAACCTTCAGCTACGGGTGTAACAGGAACAGAACGAAGTTGCATTCGTTCAGGAATGTCTGTATTACGAATCTAGAATATAACATTAAATCAAAATAATTAGTATTTTATGTAAATAATTATAAGACAAAAAGTACTTAAGTAATTATAAATAAATACCTCATTATCTAGATCCGTGAAATGACCTCTTTTCAATTCACTTGGCTCATAAATTTCAAAAATACTCTTTCTAGTACTTTTCTTTTTAAATTGTTTCTTTGGTCTTCTTGGTCGTTCATCGACATCGTCATCCAAGTATTCATCTTCTTCTTCCTCCTCTTCCTCTTCCTCATAATCTTCCTCTCCGAATTTACCAAACTCATCAAAGTCAAAATCAACTCCAAATATATCCTGAGCTTCTTGTAAAGCGCTGTATTAATAATATTAATTAATTAATAATTCAATAATGTTTACATAATACGAAAATATGATTATGAATGAATACTTACGCATCGGAGAATATTGGTTTCTTTTTCAAACGCTTTTCTGCGAGAGATCTTCCATCCTCGTCAACGATAAAATCATTCATATCATCATCCCCTTCGCTACCTTCTTCGTCCAAAGTCTCAACCTCTGGTCGATGACTTCGTTCACTTCGTCGTTCTTCCTCCTAAGTAACATGAAAAATATGAACGAATTAAAATCTTATTCAATTATATTAAACCCTTACGACTAACACCATAATAATGCAAATGATTAATTTTGTTTGTATGCGATTAAAAAAGTTATCATTACCACAAAGACATCTCTTTCCTTATATACGGATGCAAAAGAAATACATATAAATATAATTAAATGAATACTATGATAAAAAAAAGAATTAAATATGATATAATTACATCGCCAGAGCCTTCAAATAATTCAGTGGCAATGGCATCTCTGTCTTCTTCTGGTTCCTTTTCCTGTTCATCTTCGGATTCCTCATCTTGTATTCTTCGAAGACGTTTGAATCTGCGTTTCTAAATTGAACAAGAAATTTATTTATTTTAATACATGATCTCTTTTGAATTGACTAACGCAACTAAGTGTATTACGTTGAACTTACTCTTTCAAGTTTAACACCCAAGTTTTCTTCAATCAAATCATAATCCTCTTCTTCCAATCTATCATCAAACTCGTCGTCACTTTTTTTTCTTTTCTTAGAACCACCGGAAGTATCACTATCCTCTACATCGCTTTCTTCTTCTATCGGATTATCATCAATCAAATCTGCAACTTCTTCGCCATCATCTAAACAAAAATATTAATCTCGTATATATATATATGCAAATGAGATAAGATAAGATAATAACAAAATAATTGTTAATTCAAACTAACCATCGTCCTCCTCGTCACTTTCTTCAACCGCCTTAATCTTTTTCAACTTTTTCTTTTCATTTTGATCAAGCTCCTCCTCCTGAAAAAAAAGTGAGGTTAGGTATAACGGAAGTACAACGCAATAAATACGTATGTTAAAATGCATGAAATATTTTTTTAGAAATAACATACCTCGCTTTCTTCTGCTTCGGAATCTAAGAAATCTGCCATTTTGTGATGAAAAATTTATCTCAAATATATCAAATAAAAGAAAATAATCGAAAAACTTTGGAAAAAGTTGTACACTGTTCGACCACCTTTTCTACGACGATATATCAACCAAACTGAAAATATAACACGCGTTTTTATTATTTTGCATCAAATAGTTTATTTATAATAATCACTGTATAGTTTATATTAGTTTATGAATAATATTTTATTCAATAAATTATTAATTTTTGTATAATGGAAACGTAAATGCAAAGAACACACTAGAAACACGTCCGACAGTAATGGAGGCACGAGAAGGACTGTGGACACGTTTAACATGCACCCAAGCTTCCTCTTACCCTCCACCCTTCACGACTTTCGACCTTCGTCCTTCGACCTTCGATCGATCAATTGTAAAATATTCAATGAAATATTTTATTCATTAAAATTAAAATAATAAACATAACTATTGTAATTTAATTGAAACAATTAACAATATTAATGAGAAAAAAAAATATATTGATTTTTCTTGAGAGATATGTAGACAATGTTTTTACGATTGGACGCCATGTTTTTTTTAGTAAAAAATAAACTTGATAAACGATATGCAATTAATAATCATAACAATTAAATATAACCAAGCTTACTATATCTAAATGATGATTATTATGAGAAGATAGTTGATTTATATCTCACTAAATATAAATAATATCACGAGAAATGATAAATAATTGACTAACAATAAATCTTTCTCGTAAGATTGTACAATGAATCGCAGCTGTAGGACCTGTGTGAAGTTAACACCTCTTCGTATTACCGGTTGGTAACTTCCGGTCATTTCGATTAACCAATAAGATTTGATTATCTTAATGGAGCATTTTAATTGGATGTTATTCGATTGGTCAATTATTTAAAATATGGACAAATTTTCGTGGTAACAAATTTTTAAATATTAAATTGCGACAATAACAAATAATTATTATAATAATTATATTATTAAAATTAATAATAAATATTTATTAATCATTAATAAAATAGATTGATAAATAATTTACTTTTAAAAGTGAACGAAAATTCAACCATTGAATAAAAAGTACTGCTGCATTGCCACATGTTCCTTAACTCAAAGATTTGGCAACGTGTTGATTAAGGGTGTTCGTAAGGGAAACCGAAACGGTTGGAAGCAGTTTGAGGAAAGCAGTGAGAACGTTTGGTTCTAAGTTATTTTTCTTTGTGCTGTAAAGCATTTTAGCATTCATTAAAATGGCGATGGGAACTACGCAAGGGAAGGCTACTGGGTGGCCTAGAAGAACCAGTAATAGTTCTTTTGAGGGAAAAGTTGTTCCGAATCAATCTATAACTATCAACAGGACAGTTAATTTGTAAGTGAGCAGCATATACGTGATTTAATCACGTTATTTTTTAGATTATACTCCTTTGACTGCCTCTCCTATCGAACAACTATGGTCGGGTTTTGAGAGACGCTAGCGATAAAATATACATACGATGTTACTAAAGTTTTTTGTTATACTATATACGTATATATGTGTATGTTACAACCATGAGACGGCTGTTCATCCTTTCGTTAAGAAAATATTCTCCATGTTTATGTAAGCGATATCTAAAACTTGTGCGCGCGCGTTATATTCATTCACATTAAACACACCATTTTGTATTTATTGTATTTATATTTAAATTTATGTCATTGTATGTATATATAAATTTAAATGAACAAAATTATATATATATTTATTTATTTTTTTTATATATATATATATATATAAAAATTATATATTTATAATTTTTTCAAATAATACATGGTATATCGCTTCATAAACAAACAAAATTAATGCACAAGTATTTTTCATAATATACCATTTGTTTAAAACACTTAGGATTGTATTGAACTTATAATTTTTGCGTTAATTGCACGATGTATTATTATATACTTCGAATGAATATATTGCCTGCTTTACAATCATTAAAAAAGAATATTAAATACACATTAAACAAGAATTATGATAAATAATCTGTTCTTCGGTAATGTTATTTCATTATTAATGTAATAATGATCAGTGGATTGAACCGTTGAAATAATTCTATCGTTGTTATGTTTTTCTTGATGAATATAATATATATATATATATTTGATGATCATGTTTTCACATATATAAAAGCCTGCACAATTATAAATATAAAACTTTTTTTGTACATTCATACATTGTCTTATTGTATTACTTTGTTATAAATGTATGAATGGAACAAGCGTTATTTTAATTCTGTTATTTAATAATGTCCTGAATATGTTCAGGATTTGAACACAACTTATTAAACGGTTTTCTTACTTTTTAAGTAATCTCATCTTTGTAAAGATTTAAATAAGAAAGAAAGAAAGAAGGAAAAAGAGAGATATATATATATTAATTTTTTATTGAAATATATATATAAATCATATTTGTGCGTTACAAAAAGCAATTAAGTATTCTATATCGAATACATTTATAAATCGTTTATGTATGTATATATATACCTCATAACAACTAGGGTATATTTGTTATTACACATTGTTATTTATTTAAGTTATTATACGAAGAGAGAGAGAGAGAGAGAGAGAGAGAATTGTATCAACTAATTTGTTTGACAAGTTTTCAATCTATTATTGGAAAGGCTTGTTATTAATTATGATCAAGTGAATTTTTAAATAATATTATGATGCAGGATCACATGATTTTAATCAATACTTCAATTACATATTGGATGATAATTTATAATCAATTTTCTAAGTACAATTATTGCGATGTTTAACAACATTGCTGTCTTGAAATATAAAAAGGGAAGGAAGGGAAGGAAGGAAAGGAAAGGAAAGGAAAGGAAAGGAAATTAAGATATTTTTAAAGCCCTTCCTTATTTTCATATAATCGTGTTGTAAAGAAAAAAAATAATGTCGCGATAAATATTTATTGTAAAAAGATAGAGATACATATGTTTCAAATGAATCTTTCTAATTTACACAATTATTCTTCGTGGGCATCAATACTTATCATTATATTTTTTTCCAATCTGTTTTTATTATACCTTTTTTATTACTATTTAAGAATACATACTTGAAATATGGAGTATGATCATCAATTTGATGATTTTATGTATCATGGAAAGGAGGGTAATACTTACATGTATGTAGATATAAGAAAATGTCGGTACTGTTTGTTGTTATGTTTCAATTGGTACCGACCAATATGTTTTATTATGTAGATTACATTTTTTATGAATATTCAACAATAACACATACTTACATCATTTTAATTACTAAACTTTTCTTCTCTTTTTCTTTTTCTTTATTTTTCTTTTTCTTTTTCTTTTTCTTCTACTAATCACAAACACACAAAATGTTTCTTCATATTTTGTTCTTTTTTTTTCGTTTTTTTTTTTTCATCACATTTTACATTTGAACTTTTATAAATATGTAAAAGTAATCTCTTAAGTAATTATTGTTAATCGTTAGAAATAATATCAATTCAACATACAAATATTTTCTATTTCATCTAAATTAATTCGATGATACTTTTGTATAATTTGTTTTCATTATTATATTTAACTTTATTGTTTTAATATATTCACAATTTTTATATATAAATATATATTTATATAATAAAGAAATAATAGTATAATGTCTTTTGAAAAAAGATTTATATATAATCTTCATAGATAATCAATTGAATATAATATTTATTTATAATTATATTTTTAAATTCAATTCAATTTCTCATAGAAATTTATAGAATTGTTAGAAATTAAAGTTTGTTGCATTGTGAATACTTATGTTATCATTATTATTATTATTATTATTGTTATTATTATTGTTATTATTATTATTATTATTATTATATTGTATGTTGCCCTATCACATTAAGATATAATTTTGGAGAAGCTGAGTTTACTTGCTAAAGATTAAAGAAGTAAGCCTAACAGACCAATACAACTCATTTATCATAGATATCCTTTGACAAACTATTCATTTGGAACAAAAGAGCCACTCTTCGAGAAAGATCCATCGGTGCCAGCAAGGTTTCAACGTATGAGAGATGAATTTGACAAAATTGGAATGCGAAGGAGCGTGGAAGGAGTTCTCTTGGTTCACGAACATGGATTACCCCATGTTCTGCTGCTTCAATTGGGAACTACATTCTTCAAATTGTAAATATATTTGTATTCTTTAATATTATCCCTTGCTCTAGAAAATATACAAAATTTATATGATATGATTTTACAGTTTAAACATTAGAAGCATGTAATGCAGATCAATGCATTTAATCATAGTTCAAGGGGTTAATCTAAAAAAAAAAATCTATTAGTTTATAAAGTTTAATGAATTATTTGTTTAATTTTAGACCTGGTGGAGAACTAAATGCTGAAGAAGACGAGGTAGAGGGCCTAAAACGGCTCCTTACTGAGGTAACAGTTACCACGACGCCTTATGCTGCCTTACAGGGTGGCTAGGAGTGGCACTTTAATATGTTAGATTGTAATATTGTCTTATTATAAACGTATATTGTATGAATTTAAAAGATATGTATGTAGAACTTATGTAACCGGGCCTGTAGCTCAAACTAGGGAATTTTCATTTAACTATAATAAGAGGTATTTCTATATTTTTAGTGCGCTGCATGCCCGGAAAAATTGATGTCCGTAGTAGTTAAAAGACAAAGCTTATAGAATGCTCTGGTTAGCTAAGAACATTGTTCTTATCCAGCTCTCTTGTATATGTAATATGGACGCTAAACAGACTGGATATGAAGATTGTAAAACGATATAAGAAGATTGTATATTTTACATTTTATTCTTGGATTTCCCTTTGGTTTTTTTTTTTTTTGCTTTAAAGTTTCATTAATAATTTATTCAAATATATATAATATTATTTTTATATATATATATATTGTATCTATGATGTATAAAATTAAATTCAGTAGGTTAACAAAATAATCGATTGACAACCAAAGCAGGGCTAATGGTTTTTTTTTCATTTACAAAATAGGCCATTCATTAAACTCGATTAATAATTTTATATATATATATATATATATATATCTATTGCCAAATTTGTGAATGTTAGTATCAATATATATACATGTACAACAGCTGTTTCATTTTCACTATGTATTATTAAGGAATGCATGTCAGAGGTATTTCTTAAAGTGAATATTTCTGACATATGTAATTAATGTCAATATTATAATAATATTAATAATAATGTAAAGGAGGTTGTGCAAGGAATATATTAGGCAATTATCAAAAAATTGTCCATTAAAAAAAAAAAGAAAGAAAAATAACAAATGTAATAATTCAGACACTTTCAAATATAATGTAACCATGTTCTTAGTGGACTATAAATGAAGAAGAATGTATTATTATATGCTATTTTATGAAAAGAAAAATGATTGAAAATGCATAATAAGTATAATATGCTTAAATTAATAACTTCTAGACATTTGGACAACAAGATGGAGTCAAACAGGAATGGGTGATAGAAGATAGCATTGGAAATTGGTGGCGACCAAACTTTGAACCACCTCAATATCCGTATGTTCCACCTCACATTACCAAACCAAAGGAACATAAAAGGTTGTTTCTTGTACAATTACAGGAAAAAGGTAATATATACGAGAATATCCTTTATTTTTGTTTTTGTTTTGTTTTGTTAATTTTATAAACAAATACCAACCTACGTACGATTTTATTTTAGCTCGATTTGCAGTACCAAAAAATTACAAATTAGTTGCTGCACCATTATTCGAATTATATGATAACTCTCAAGGATATGGACCGATCATTTCTAGCTTACCACAGTCACTTTGCAGGTAAATATTCATTACATTTTTAATATGCAAATAAAAAATATATATATCACTTTTATGAATTTTAATAAATCATTATTGAATTACTTATGGTATCCCTTGTTTCAGATTTAATTTTATTTACATGTGAAAAAGGATATCGAAATAAAAAGATTGGTATAATTTTTACTTAAGTTTATTATTATTATTATTACTATTATTATTACTATTATTATTATTATTATTAATATTATTATTATTATTATTATTATTATTATTATTATTATTATTATTATTAAACATTGTATGTATGTGTGAGATGACGGATGCAATATGAAGTTGCTCTTCTATGTATAATATGAAACTTACTATAAATTAAATATAATTTTTTGTATGTAGTAAATATTTAATATATCGGTGCCGACACTTTCCAATTCCTTCATTTGATATATTAAATATAATTTATTAATATTATCTTCATAAGAAATAAGTTCAACTAATTTAAAATGAATTTGAAAAATGTTTAAGATCGATACTCGTATTTTAGTACAATCGATTTATCTCGATTATATAAACAAGATGGATTCGAGGTTGTGACGTATTCGGTTAGATTCGGCACGTTTCGTTTATACTCGACGTTTAGTATGATGCTAACGTGTAGCGATAGTGAAAGGATAACCTAGACAAAAATTCGGAGATTTATATATCTAAGAAATATTTAATATAATTTATAAATATTATTATCTTCATAAGAAATAAGTTCAACTAATTTAAAATGAATTTGAAAGATGTTTAAGATCGATACTCGCATTTTAGTGCAATCGATTTATCTCGATTATATAAACGAGATGGATTCGAGGTTGTGACGTATGTTCGGTTAGATTCGGCACGTCTCGTTTACACTCGGACGTTTAGTATGGCGCTAACGTGTGTCAGTAGTGAAAGGATAACCTAGAAAAAAAAATCAGAGAAGTTTATATATATATATAAGAAATGTTTTACTGTTACTTATAGCATTTAATAAATTTGTAGTTCGTTGATATCATCGTAAGAGAAAAAATACTTGTGTCAACGTATTTAAATTACTGTCATGGGAACCGTTACCTGTATTGCACCTATTAACATCGCAGTCCTTAAATATTGTACGTATCTCTTTTTATAATATTATTTAATATTAATAATAACAGAAATAATATATAAATCAAATGTGTGTGTGTATTTATAACACACACATATGTCTTCGTTTAATATCTAATTTAAATTTTGATATATAAATCAATATATGTCAATCATATTCAAATTATATTCATATATATATGTATATATTGTTGTATGTATATATATATATATATATATATATATGAACATAATTATATTTTGAATAGGTTTACGATAAGAGAATATTGAAATTGTTTCTATTTTTAGAATTCATCTTTGACCTTTTTTTTTTTTTCAACTAAAAGTTTCAAATCATTTAAATATGAAGTGACTAGAATGTTTTATTATAATAACAATAAAATGTAACAATATTTGTAGTATGCATTAGGAGTTATATAAATTGTTGAAATATTCATTTGAATAATTATCTTATTATCGATATTTAATTTATTTATGGTTTATTTTTAGGGGGCAAACGAAATGAAACTTTAATCTTGCCTACTAATGACTCGATAAGTTTGACTTTGGATACAGAACAGGTAATTTTTTATTACAAGTTTTTTGTTTTTGTTTTATTTACTTCTAATAAATAGCATATTAAATATGTCAAGTATATACGTTAATAATATTCATAATTAATATTTATTATACAGTTATGTACAAAAACAACTGTTATGCTCAGCGAAAAATTCAAGAAAGATCGCATATGGTTAAATGGAGTGTAAGAAGCATTTTATTATTATTATTATTATTTTTATATTTTTTTTTTAAACAAATCATGATTATATCAAATTGTAATTATTATTTATTCATTTTATTTCAGTGAAGAAGATATTAAAAATCCCAGATTGCAAATCTGTTTAAGCGAAAGTAAGTTTTTTTAACATATAAACAGAATGATTTATTTTATATGAAAAATAATGTTATAATAGATGAATGTTTACAAGTTAGGAAAAGGGCGAAGCTTGAGGAAGAAATGATGAATTGGAAAGTTCATATTTGTTCAGAAAATAATTTTCCAACTGCATCTGGATTGGCTTCCAGTGCTTCAGGATATGCGTGTCTCACATTAGCTCTTGCTCAATTGTATAAAGTAAAGGTAACATGTTTATTCAAATTTAATTATATATATATATATATATATATATTTTTAACTCTTTGAGTGTTACGAATGCCTATAAGCATTCAATATTAATGTTCAAAATGTATTACGTTCCTACAAAAAGTTTTGTCAAAGAGTATTCACTGCTCAGAGAGTTATAAATAAAGGTTTAATTTGATATATTTCATAAATGTATTAAATTGTAATTAATTGAACAAGGGTGATGTTAGTACCATCGCACGAATGGGATCTGGTTCAGCATGCAGAAGTACTCTAGGTGGTTTTGTCAGATGGCGTATGGGATTATTTGAATATGGCACTGACAGTGTAGCAGAACAAATAGCACCTGCATCCAGTTGGCCTGAAATGAGATGTTTAATATTAGTTGTGCGTAATTCTTCTCCTGTATTTTACAATTTATTTTTCTAGAAATTTTTCAACATTAATATTTATTGATTAGTTTGTAATTATTATTAATGTATATGCATTCAGGTGAATGACAACAAGAAACTGGTCTCTAGTACTGTTGGAATGAAGAGAACCTATAAAACCTCTGAACTTTATCATTTTCGTACTAGTTATATTGTACCTGAGCGAGCAGACCTAATAGATGCTGCCATTGTATCGAAAGATTTTAAACTTTTCGCCGAACTTACAATGAAAGATTCCAATCAAATGCATGCAGTGTGTTTAGATAGTTATCCTCCAATTATATACCTGAATGATATCTCTTTTGCAATTATGAATCTTATTCATTCGTATCATAATGCAACTGGACAAATACAGGTATTACATATATGTTTATTTAATAATAAAGATTATACGTTTTTTTTTCTTTTTTATTATTGGATTTTATTGTAAAATTCGAATTATAGGTAGCATATACTTTCGATGCAGGACCGAATCCTACTTTGTATTTATTAGAGAGGAATGTTCCAGAAGTGATAGCACTATTAGATCATTATTTTCCCCCAGATAGTAATAATTTGGACAATTATAAAAGAGGTTTGCCTATTGAAACGGTAGAATTATCACAGGTACATTGACGAATTGTTAATACTTTATTTACGATTCTCATATATATATATTTAACAAATAAATAAAATATATATATTTTTTTTTTTACTTTTAGGATATAATAAATAACATTGATAGTAAAGTTTACGAACCAGGTAAAATAAAATATATGATATACACGCGTATAGGGGACGGGCCTAAATATCTTGTAAGTCCCGATGATCATCTTTTAAATGATGAAGGTTTGCCTATAACAAAAGATACTAACGTTGTTTAGAAACAATTTATTTAATTTATTATTTTATTATTTATTATTAAGGAAAAAAATAAATATCAGTATTTGTTCTTTCGCACGAAAATTTTATACGCAATTTATCATTGGTAAAAGGGAAATCTTATAGAATATATCATTCTTTTTATAGAAAACATTGTTCTTATAATAAATTTAATACTACCTCACATACAAACACATACATATTTTTTTAATTTATATTACAGCGCATAAATTAAAATTTAATTAATAAATTTAAGATTAATCACGTTCAATAGTTTGAATTTGCATTTTTTCCAATTATCATTAACATATGATAAATAATTGTAGATAATACAGGAAGTATGGATACCGACCGAACAAATAAGAATACCGACCGAGCAAGTAAAGAAATTGGCCGATCAAGTAGGAATACCGACTGTGCAAGAAAACTTCGATTGGAATTCGATAGATGTCGCAGTTGGACGAGCGGGTTCTTTCACTTTGACGGTCAGCAGTCAGTGTGACGCTAGGTTCGGTTGGGTTAAGGGGTGAATGATTCGCGTTCGTTGTTCTATGAGAAGGACGTCGTGTTCTTGTAGGTAGATAGCACTGAACATCGTGACATAGGTAGGGAAGGAAGAGGAAGGGACGGTGAGAGAAGAGGAGGAGGAGGAGGAGGAGGAAGAGGAAGAAGGGGAAAGGAAGGGGGTGGTAGGGCAGGTAGTTTCTGAGAAGGGTTCAAAAGAAAGAAGGATGATGTTTAGATTATACCACACAGAGTAGAAAGAGCCGGTTGTCTTTTGGTGATCCTGGTGATCCTTTCAACCAACTAAATGAATTGTTTTATTTGCTAAAAGTTGCTTTCAGTTTCTTTCTTGATCGTGGGTCCTTCAAAAAACGGGAAGGAATAAATTTTATTTGAAAGTGTATGAGTCGTAAGTTATGACACGGTTAGAACGAGTTACAAGAGGTAGGAGTAAAGGCGTGTGGTGTGATAATAGGGACTACGGCAAGGAGGACTGTTCCGTTTCCGTTCTCAGTTTCGCGCGGTTCGCGGATCCGATCACTGTTGCCGTTGCAATAACTTCTGTTCTTCCGTCAAATAATAATATTAGGAATTTTTGTAAAATTTCTATACCCTATTACCGTATTTTAACTTCCTCCTCATCATCTTCCTCTTCCTCTTGGTGGATTTTAAAGGACAACAACAACAAGTCATTTGAGTTACGGGGTAGGATTAGAATATAGGATAAGATCAAAAGAAGGAGGTATTTGAAGAAGTTCGCGGACTTGCCGGAGAACGTGGACCACACAGTCCATTGGACTGTGAAAAGGAGAAAGGAGGAGGAAGAGGAGGAGGAGGAGGAGGAGGAAGGTGGTAGTGGTGGTAGAGGAAGGTTGGGGTGAGGAGGAGCGCGAAAGGATGAATGAGAAGTTAGAGTGCTGAGCGCACCGATACCGAGTGCCCTGACTCCTTTGGTTCCTCGCGTTTCTTTACATTTGTGTGTTGCTTCGTTTTCTTCCAAGAACGAGAGAAGAAGCCCAATAGGACGAGTATATAAGGTTCTTTAGGAGAGAGAGAGAGAAAGAGAGAGAGAGAAAGAGAGAAATAAAGGGAAAAAGAAACACGACTAACCGAAGACAACGACCTGTGGGGACTACGACTACCAACCAGGAGAAAGAGGAGGAGGAGGAGGTGGTGGAAGAGGGAAAGATAGAAAGAAAGAAAAAGATGTGGGATCTCTTTGGTGTGCCTTCTTACTACCGTGTCTCTACTAACTTGAATGCGTGATTATTCCTTTCGCCTGAGCGGTTGGCCGTCTACCAACCTAAAGCTACGTTCACAAACAATTTCTACGTTTTTTTACGTCGATAAGAATCCAAGCGGTTGATGAGAACCGATCGAGTCCGATCGTCCAATCAGCTTTCGGGTATGTTCAACATTTATTTTTATTATACTCTTATTATTATTCTTCAATTTTTCTATTATATTTTATTGTGTTAATTAAGAAAAAATGTATTTTTCAAAACACATGCCATGTTGATATTAATATTTGTTAGTATATTTGTGTAAATTTGTTGGTTTTTCTTTTTTTGATTTGTTTTGTTAATTAAAAAGAAAAGAAAAGAAAAGAAAAAGAAAAACATGTATTTCTTAAAAACATATACATGTTGATATTAATATTCCTTTATTTATGTAACAAACTATGTGAACTTGCATTTAAATCGAACACCAAAGAGCGCGGTTGCATTCTCTTTAAAGCACGTGGGGTAAATGCAATGGAAGGTGAAGGTAAACGAAATAGCTCGAGGATTCGACTCATTTTGTTTTATTTTTATTTTGCTTCGATTATACTGGGTGTTTCCTTTTAATACGATCATACTTTATTCTTCGTTTTATTATATTCAATGATTATTATTATTATTTTTTTTTTAATACTTGTTTTGATTCATTTCACAAAGATATTTCCATTCGTTTTATTATATTCAATGATTTTGTTTAATACTTGTTTTGATTCATTTCACAGGGTGTTTTATATTCAATTATTTTTTAAAATACTTTTTTTTTTTTATTATTTATCGTTTAAATATTTATAGTAATTGATCGTGTATTATAATTTTTTTTCATATTAACAGTTACAGTAAATCTTTCGTATAAATGTACCGAAAATATGGCGGACATTTGGTACAAATTTCATACAATAAACGAATTCGTGCAATGTTCATTTCAAAGTGCAATTATGCACTTTATATAACAATATA